CTACTGACTTGACATTCAGTGAACACTCATGCAGGGGACCTCAGGGAACAAGTTAGGGTATGGGGAAAAAGGCTAGGTTGGTCGTTTATAAGGCATCCTGCCCACTGTACTATCTCTTCAGTCATTATCTCTCTGGTCTATGAACAAGTTTCTTAATCACACATTCTGACTTATTTTTAACTAAAAAATTTCTACCTCCCAGAGAATAAGTTTCATAAAAGTCTTAGATCATACCCCAAAAGGTGCTAGCATCTGTGGCTTCATCTATTCTATTCTACTAGCATCTATTCTCAGTCACTGTCAAGGAGTTGCTATCAACGCCTGGTGCTTGGATCATAAGTGTCTGAGAGTGGCCTCCAGGTCCATACAGCTACTGAGTCCATGATAAGCAGGAAAACTGCCACCATTCTCTGGTCACAGAACTTCATTCAAGACAGCTCTCTATGTATTACACACCCATGCTTATCCCCGCATCCCACCCCTGATTTCAATTTATGCTCCTCCTATCTGAAATGCCCACCTTCATTTTCCTTATCTGCCTAAATCCTGGAACATTCTTGGATGCTCCTCTGAAGTACCTCAATAGAATTTCACAGGAAAATTCTAGATGTGTGAATAATATTTATTCTCTATAATACCTCAGCATTTACCTTTAGTACATATTAGTCATCTCATGGGGAGGCCTTGGAAACTTTAGTTAATAGCCTAGGTTATAGAAAGGCTATTTAATTGCTCTCTCAGCCTCAGTCTTCTCAGGACTAGATATCTAAATAATTTGGAAAAAAACACTTTTTTTTGCATCAGTACCAGAAATTGAAGTTTGGGCCTTATACATGCAAGACATGTGCTCTGGTTAAGCCACACAACCCCAGTCCTAATTATTATGAATTTTAACGTATTATATATTGTCATTGGTTTTCCCCTCTGTTTTGCACATTTATATTTTCTTTCTGTCTATATGTTCTATATATTTATCCTGTGTCTTAAACCACAGCACATATGATGAAACTCAGTCTTAAGAATTTTGATAAACTTATCCTTAAAGATTTCATCATATATAGTAACTTATTCCAAGAATGGAAAAGTAGCTTGACTTGTAGATTGTGTATGTAGTAGAATGCTATCAGGTGCTACTAAATTCAGCACAGCCTGGAGTATTCCCAGGAACCCTCAGTACTGACAGGTACAGCAACTTATGGGGAGCAAGGACGAAAATAAATGGAAGGATCAGAGAGATGATCAACAGGCCAACCATATGCTTTGCATGCAGTAGGCATGTTTGATCCCAGCACGACATGGTCCCCTGAGCAATGCCAGGAGCAACCCTCCTGTACAAAGCTGGGAGTATTCCCTAAGCACCACATGGTTTGAGGTCCCAAAACCCAAAAGGAAAAAAATACATGAGAATAAACTTAAGAAAGAAGGTGAAATGCACTTGTTAGCTCATTGCAACACTGTCTACAATAGCTAGAATCTGGAAAAAACCTGAGTACCTGAGAACAGATGACTGGTTAAAGAAACTTTGGTACATTTACACAATGGAGTACTATGCAGCTATTAGAAAGGATGAAGTCATGAAATTTACATACAAGTGGTATAACATGGAAAGTATCATACTAAGTGAAATGAGTCAGAAATACAGGAACAGACATAGAAAGATTGCATTCATCTGGGGAACATAAAGTAACAAAATAGGAGACTAACACCAAGAATAGCTGAGATAAATACCAGGAGGTTTACTCCATGGCTTGGATGCCAGCCGCACACTCTAGGGGTAAAGGCAGCTCAGATAGAGAAGGGATCACCAAATAAAGGGTGTTGGGAAGATCCGCCCAGGATGGGAGATGAATGCTGAGAGTAAACTATAGACCGAACATGAATGCCACTCAGTTCCTCTTTTGCAAACCACAGCACCCAAAAGGAGAGAGAGAACAGAGGGGAGTGCCCTGCCACAGAGGCAGGGCGGGATGGGGAAAATGGGGGGTGGGAGGAATACTGGGATTAGTGGTGGTGGAGAATGGGCACTGGTGGAGGGATGGGTACTTGATTATTGTATAACTGAAAGCCAAGCACAAAAATCTGTAAGTCTACAACTGTACATCATGGTGTTTCACTAATAAAAACTAAAAAAAAAAAGAAAAAAGATGAAAGACTTGCACAAAAAAGTCTTATAACACATTCTGAAGCAGACTAGAACTTTTGTATTCATTGGTGGAAGGTATTAGGCACTCAGGTTTTGGTAAGTTGTGAAAAACGTATCAAAACCAAAAACATTATCACAATAGTAAATATTTTATCTAAATTACAATAATAGCAATAAATAATAAATATGTATCTAGCTAAAAAATTAAAGGATGTTACCCATAATTTTTCATTTTCTGGATTACTTAGAAAAGAAATTACCAGCCTTCAATATTTTTGAGAAAATATTTTAAGTATAATCAACATTTTTCTATATGTAATGATTTTTTATACATAATGATTTTTGAATATAAAAATTCCCACATCATTAAGCAATATGAAGTATAGCAATGCTCAGGGGCTTTTGTCTGTTTCTTCAAATTTTCTGGACCCATTTAAGCACAATAAAACTTAATGGCAAAAACGTTTTAAGTTCTTATAAAAAAATCAGTTCTGATAAAAATTTCAGTGCCATCTTTAAAACAATAAAAAAATTGAAAGAAGCCACAAAAGACCCTAAAAAACTAAAGCAATAATCAGAAAAAAAGAAAAATAAGATGACACGTGACAATGTTACCCAGCTTCAAACTGGCTACAGAAAGGTATTGGCCAGAAATCTGGAGAAATAGTCCAAATGTTAGGGTGATTTTCTTGCATATTTGGTCCCAAGTATTCTATATATTCCCACAGTGGCAATAATCCCTGGAAGTGTGGGTTTAAAGACCCTCTGGGAAGAGGGGGTGGGTGAATGTTCTTCTGGGAACCCAAAATCTAACAGACTTTAGGTGAGGGTCAAGTGAACTAGCCAATGGGGAAGGAGTGTCCTTCTTCAGCAGAATTCCACTTTCTGCTTCTCTGACTACGCCTGCTGAAGGGATATAAAGAATTTTTCTACCTGAAGTTGAGGCTCAGACTCTAGATAAGAATTCTTCAAGCATTTCCAACTATCTTTGTCTTGGTGGTCCCTTCTCTATCCCAACTGCCTTGTCCTCCAGCACCTGAGTCAGACTTAAAGTTGTGGACCAATCCTCCTGGCCCTTGTTTCTATTGCCTTTGGGTACTGGTCTTATCTGATGGTTTTTAATATCCAAAAATGTCTCTTCTACAAATGTGGAAAAATGAATAGCTACATACAAAAATGAAATTAGATGATTATTGGAAGAGCTCATATAATTCAAAAACAACAAAATAATTCAATCCAAAAGCAGGCAAAGTCATTTCTCCAAAGAAAATATACAGATGGTGAACAGGCATAGGGAAAAAAAACTATTTAACATCACTTAGAATCAGGGAAATGTAAATCAAAAGTGTAATGAAAATACCTCAGCACACCTGTGAGAATAGTCTATATCCAAAACTGGAAATCAATGTTGGTGGGGGTATACAAAAGGAGGAGCCTTGGCGCTGTTCGTGAAAATTGCAGATGTGTGTTTCTGTAGAAGACAGCTGGGATTCCCTCCAGAAATTTAAAGGAGAACTGCCAAATGTCTCAGTAATTCCACTTCTAGGTATCTGTCTAATGAATACCAAAATCAAATTTGAAAATGTATATGCATCCTACATTATCACTGCAACACTATTCCCAGCAGTTGATATGGAAGCAACCGAATGCGCATTGAAGGAAGACTGAGGAAAGGAGAAATAATCTAAGCTTATGCTCAGTGGAATACTACTTGGCTAAAAAAGGAAATTATCTATTGGGCCAGAGAGATATTACAAGAGTTAAGAGACCCTTTTCGCATTCTGTCAATACCAGTTCCATCCCAACACCAGGTGATGGTCCACCCAGGGTCACTCTTGAACACAGAGCCAAGGATAGCTCTGAGCATCACTGGTTTGATCCAAAGTCCTCTTATAAAATACTGCATTTGTGCCAAAATAAAACTTGAGGTGATTATACTAAGCAGCAATATCAGTCAGAAAAAGACAAATGGATGGTCTTGTTCACATGTAGAACATAAAGAAAGAATGCAACTGAACTCACAATAAAACAAAACAAAAATAAGTCTTAGACCCTGAGATCAAAATCATGTTTTACAGAGGAGAATGAAAAATAATGTGTAAGAGAGAAGTAAAAGGGGGTCAATTCGACAGGAGTGAATTATGCTAGAACTTGAGTAGTTGAGCATGGTGTGAAAGTCACATTTATCAAGGTGGAAGCTATGTACCTGAACTTGCATTACTGAAAAATCAAAATAAATATATAAATAATTTTAAATAAAGGTTGAGATACATACAAGATATTAACTCCCTGTCTCAGATCCCATTTATATTTTTCAGAGGTACAAAGTATATGATTATTAGCCAGGAATCTGAAAGCTTTGAGGAAGACTGAAGGAAAACACAAATTTCAAAAAATCTAGAAACATCTGCTCTTTTCTACAGCAAGTTAATACTAAAACAAGTAGTGAGTCTATATTATAACAAGCATCAATATAAAAAACAGTGAGGGCACGATACTAATATTTCCAAGAAATTGGTGTGCAGGCCACTACTGTTCCACTGTATTTTACATTAAATTCAATGGGTGATCCACAGCTCATCAGGATAAATGTTTGATCTGGACTATACAAACAGAAAATCTGTACAGGGCAAGGCCACATCAAGTCAATTCTTTAAAAGGTCATTTCCTATGCTGCATACTCTGTCATAGTATAATGATCCCTATGATTGTTCTTACATTTCTTTGGGGAATTCAGTTAGGTTTATCAAAGACAAAAAAATCAACCCATTCTGCTACAAAGTAGGAAAAAGTTGACTTTTCCCCAGCATTACTTTCACAATTAAGGCAAGATATCATATTAATAAGAGTGCCTTACCTCTATCTTTTCCCATATGGCTTCATAGTTGTCTTGGTGCTGAATGTCTTGCATCAGTTTCTGAATCAAAGCAGATTTCGCAGCAGAATGGCTCTCGTTTTTCTCAACAGATGATGCGCTCTCTGACCTCTGATCAATGTATTTTTTCAGGCCAGAGAGAGATGTAGATGACTCCTCATCAGAAAGGAGGTCGCTCAGGGGCCCAGATTCAGCGCTCTCTCCCAGGGAAGAGGCAATGTCACTGGATGAGCTTGGCGACACCCTGCCTAGTCTAGTGTGCTTCTTCTTGACATGGTACACTGGATAAATCTCAGAATCGGAATTCATTTCCGAGAGTTCCCAGTCATCAATATTCTGAATGATTTCTCCTCTGGGTTTCTGAGGCAGGAGCTTTGTTAGGTTTTCCAACTTCAAGGCTAATACTTCTGTCTGCCTAAGGTGAGAGGGCAGTGCTAGGTATTCATCAGAGCCATACCAGGCTTCCACAACTGGACCGTTCCTGGAGACATGATTTGTGGAAGTAGAATTATTTTTCTTGCTTTTGTGTTTTGAAAGAAGGGGGACTGGAGACATGATGTCTGAGCCAGCAGAGGATTCACTGCTTTGAGTTAAAAGAGGCGAATTGGATGTTTCAGAGTGCACTGGCAATTTGGAATTCCAGCTTCTCTGACTACCTGGCTCAAGTGAGGATGTGGAAGCAGAATCTGTGTCTATGGCCTTGGTGGGCCCCACAGGAATTCCATTAGGTACTATTGTGCGTCCCACATTTTCTACTCGCTTGCCTGAATCAGTTCCTTGCTTAAGCATTTGGCATGGAGGGGCCTCTTGTGATTTCTTGTGGGACTTTTTAAGTCGGGATTTCTCTTTATGACAGTCATTAAGCCTTCCCAGGCTGGAAGAGATTTCTTTAATGTGATTTTTGACAGTGTTTTCAAGATTTCCAGCCCCGACCTGGTGCAAACACTCAAATGACTGACTGGCAGCTGACGGGCTGCTGGGGTATGAAGACTGCAATGTCAGGCAGAGTTTGGATCTGTCAGGGGGGTCCACCAGGGAAGGGGTGCTTCTGCTCATCGCAGGCTTGAGATCAGCCAGCTGCTTCTTCCCCACAGTGCCTTTCATATCTTTCATCAGTGTTTTCTCTTTAAGGAAAAGCCCTCTTTTGGGCATTGTGGGCTGTGTAGGAGAATCCTCATTATAATTAGAGCAATCTCTGATGGTTCGCTTGGGTGTTGCATTTTCAGCACAAAGAATTTGTTGGTTCTTTGTCCCAAGCTGGGAGGAGGAATCGGATTCTTGCTTCAAAGTCTCAGAAGATGGTTGAGCAGCATTTGTCGGCACTTCCCTAGACAATGACGTGGCTGGTGTTGAGCCTGGCACTTCCTCCACTGTGCAAGCATTGTTTTCTTTATGTCCCTCTTTGTTGTCTGCTGAACAAGACTTGTGAGACATGTCCTCAAGAAGTGCTTCACTGGAGCTGGAGGGAATGGGGTCAGTAGATCCAGCAAGTAACCCAACACTTCTGATAAGCTCAGGGAACTCCTTTTCCATCTCACTGTAGCTCCAAGACTCAAAGGGTTTGGTTTTCATCTGGTTAGAGGTCATATCACCCAGACCACCAAGCAAATCCTCACTTGGGCTATAGTCAGACAGTTCGAAAGCAGTAATACCACAGTCTAGAGACAAGTAGTTTTGAGAGCACTTGATGGTTAGTTGGCCTGAATCATCCACTTCCGTTAGTGAATCAAGTCGGCCCTGGAACAGACAATGGCAATAGTTTCAGTATATGCAACATCCATTACACTCAGCTGCGACTCAAGTGAAATTGCAACAGAAGTCACTCCAGAGGGAAGAAATGCAGAAGCTTCAATTGCTTCTGGTTCGACATACAGAAAGGCATATTTTAATCTGCTTATCTTATTGTTGTAGACAGTTTTCTATTCTTCAGTTTTTAAGAATTTTTTTAAATAGTGGACCTAGAGACTTAAAATAAATGGTCAAGGTCAAGCCCACGATATCAATATTTTTTTTTTGCTTTTTGGGTCACACCCGGCGATGCTCAGGAGTTACTCCTGCCTCATGCACTCAGGAATTGCTCCTGGCGGTGCTCAGGGGACCACATGGGGTGCTGGGAATCGAACCGGTGTCGGTCATGTTGGCTGCGTGCAAGGCAAACACCCTACCTGCTGTGCTATCGCTCCAGCCCCACACGATATCAATTTATACCTTAAATTTGTATTTTTTAAAGTATTATTTATTTAATAGCTATTTCCTCTGTAATACCTTAATTAATAATGTTTCTACAAACAAGGCAGTGTAGGAGTACAGCCTCCATGGCTGCCAATTTTGCTTACAACTATAATTGCAGCACCTACCAGAGTGCTAGCTCATAGTAGATGCTCAATCAATATGCTTTAAAAAAACAGTTATGCTACATTGACATGTAAGATATGCATCCATAAATTACAGAAAGATGACCTGCTGAGTTTATAAACACATAAAGGAAATAGTTCAAAGACTAGTTTCTATTTGTCCCCATCACTTTGAGAAAGAGTTAAACCTGGAGAAAATTAATGCATCTAAATGTTGTTATCTTATCCCCACTCCTTCCTAAGCATGCATTTCTCTTCCATCCCTGCTCCTATTTGTGTAAAGTAGACATCAAGTGACTTGTCATTTATAAATGTCATTTATACATGTAGATAGTCTGGATTTATTTAAGTTCCCCTATGCTGGAAAACTGCATTACAAGTAAATATGTAAAGTTTTTTTTATCTTTAACAATATGATTAAGGTTATGTCTCTTTACCAATGCAGTTTCTGATATCACAATATAAATGGGGAGAATTTGTACTGATGACTATCTACTTGGGCTAGAAAGCCTGGGATAGTCTTTTATGCCTTCTAAGATAAAGGATAACCTGGTCTAACTGAATTCGTTAGGAGATGAAAGAAAAAGTGCCATTATATCCCCAAACTTCCATTTTTCTGAGGGAGGAACAGATGACCAGACTCGCTTCTAGAGTAGACTCTTTGAAAATAACCTAAGTCTTAGACACTTTCAACATGAACTGAAAACTCAGAAGTCAAAAAAATGTAATGAATGTGTTAAATCAAACAAATTATACTATTTGCAATTAGAAAGTAATAGTGAAAATTCCCAGTTTAAATGCTGGCTGTATTTCAGGAAAAATATTACGTGACTTCTTTACCAAATAACTGAAATTATAGGTAAGTTCAAAGCAATGCTCAAATTGGGATTTAAATTGCTAAATGGCTAAAATTTGCATTATCTTCTACTAATACATAAGATACAGTGCCACAGTTTCTTAAGTGAGACTAAAGAAATTCTAAACATTTTTATAAAAAAGTGAATGAAACAAGAGTACTCAGATAGAAATCAGACCGTGAAAGTATCTATAACTTGCCCTGACAGACAGAAACCATTATAACGCTGAGACTGCATTTGGCTCCAATGATGGAGGTGGTAGGGGGTGGAGAGGGGGGTGGTCACAGAACTTATAACCAAGAGTATTGTCTTGCTTGAAAAGAACAGGGCTTAATAAATGAATGAACAGATGGCATGAAATTACATCTTAAACTTTTTTAAACTGTGTCTGTAGGTATCAATAATCATCCATTTCAGAAAATGAAACACCACAATCAGAAACATATGCTTCAAAGAGAGCCTTATCCTGAGTCCTGCTAAGTAGACTTTCTCAGAGTATGGAAGACTGTCATTGAGAGTCCTGGTGCTCAGGAGCTACTCCAAACTTTGTGTCCAGTAGTTGCTCTTGGTGGTAATTGGGGAACCATGTTATTCCAGGTGGTATTTGGGTGACTGAGCCAGGGAATACTGAATGTTGACAAATACCTTACTTGCTAGACTATCCTTCTGACCCCATGCTACTTATTTTGGGGGAGTGAGGATGTAGAGGGGCTTACCTAGCAGTGCTTATGGGTTACTCATGGTGCTCAGGGATCACTCCTGGCAGTGCACTAGGGACCATAGGGGAAGTCAGGTATTGAATCTGGGTTGGCTACGCAAGGCTAGTGTCCTACCAGCTCTACTATCTCTCTGGTCCCCACTGTCTTTTTTACTGTGTAAAAATACCTCCTGAAGAATATAACAAACATACTCCGCCATAGAACATATCCATTTCATACTCTCAAGACCAAGTGACAAGCATCTACCTATACATGCTTATTCTAGCTGATTATATTAAAGAGCTTTCTTCAAAAGTAGTTTTCTAGATTCTGGCATACAGAGGAAATTTTAAGGCAAGAACTCTGAAGTTTCTCAGTGCAAATAGTTTCATTTCTTAAAATACTGCTTACTAAGATTTAATTTTTAAGCCCCATCATATTCTTTTTGAACCATTTCCCAGACAGTTTTCTAATGCATTTAAATGCATAAGTCTCCAGTGAAACTGGAGCTAAAGAAAATGTGCACGTGATTCTTAACTGCCCTCTACTTCAGAAAGATCACATTTAACTGTGCAGTGCATTTAACTTGCCTAACCAAGTCTCCACTCAAATAGACATTCACTTAAGACATTATTAAGCAGTTTCTCAATTCAAAGTTACATTTTATGGAGGTGACCATTTATTGACCTTATTTCTGGATACTTTATTTACTTTATTGTTGGCTTTAATCTTACCTCAGATATCAAGGAAATCCTGTTGTGTGTGTATGATTTTAAAGAAATTTTGCTTTATTCTTCAGCTATAATTAAACCAACTAAAGCTCAAATTCAAAAATGCCCTTCTACATCTTTAACGCTACACTTGCAACCAACTGGATGAGACTTATAACACTAAATTATAAAAATAATATTAATATAATTAATGGATTGGAAAATATGCTTATTAAAATATAGCAAGGTGAAATCAGAGTCCACTCCTATTTCAGGGTCAGTTTTGTGTACTACTTTAAAGCTCCTGTTAAAAAGAGTTGGAAATAGAGTTTTGTGGTTTTAGTTCTGGGTGAAAAATGTGCTTGTCCCTCCCTCATACTTTTACTGCATGTATGGTGTTTGCTTAGTTTCCGTTACTGGCATCATTCAAATTCATGGACCTGTACCAGGATGACACCATCCCTCAGAGTCCTCTGAACTCATGGACTCGCTTCACGCTCAACTTTCTTTCAGCTCTATCATGTCCCATTCTATGATTCTGTGCATGTTCTAGAAAGAAGCAGTGAATTGAGAGAAACAAGTAACATGCATTTTGTACATTTGGAAAAATACACAAAATATTTTCCAAAATTAAGAAAACATTATAGTTTAGGTAATGTATTCCAAAAAATGTGACTATAATACTAATTCTTAAGAATCTCTACTTTTTATAGGCTGAAATGATAAGTCCAAGAGTTATCTCCATGAAAGCCAGTCTACCAACCTAAACTGATCTATCCTTCTTTATACCTAAAATAGTAATTACCTGAGTTTTTTAATTCAAATCATCAGATGTTTATAGACAAGCAGTACAAGCTCAGTGCCGTAGGAGATACAAAGATGCTTAAATAGTGCTGCAAACACCTGTTTTCAAACCCAGCACTTCCTATGTCATAATCTAATCCAGACCTCCACAGCACTGTGTGCTCTGGTAGAACACACTACGCACAAAGTGGTATTCAGGAGCACATGCTCTGGAAGGACCAACACAGTCTCACAGAGAGGGTGAGTAAAATGCTTACCACACCATGGCCCAATTCTTAATAATTTGCCATTGTACTAATATTAAGAGTTATCACTACCTGTGTGACTTTTATCTGTCTTGACTTCAATCCTCTTATTTGAATATAGATAAATACCTGCCCTGCTAACTTCCTAAAACTATTAAGGGATTAAAAAAAAACCCTAGAAGATGATTTCTAATATGTATTATTCATCATTGAGGGCCTAAAGGCTTACACATAAAAGGAAAACAATAAATGTTTAGGGAAGGTAGGGCAGGTTGGCAGGAAGGAAGGGAGGGAGACAGGAATGGAGAGGAGAGAAAAAGAAATGCTATTACAATAGAGATAAAAACTGGAAATTTTTGTTTGATTTCTACTACACATTGACTTAAGCTTTCTTAGTGTCTTCTCATCTATAAAATTAAACTAATATGCCCTTTACCCTACTTATTTAATGAAACAATAAAAGCTTTTTACAGTATCTGGAATATAGGAAAAAACTAGTACAATACACTTTTTACACATATTGAGCTTTGCCTTATGTTTTATTTGTTAGTTTTTAGTTTTGCTTTAGTAAGCCTTTTGCCAATTTGTTCATAATACATGATCGACTCCATATTTAAATAAACTTTGCCTTTATACAATTTAAATATTTCCAATAAATTTAAAAATATTAGTATAGAATTATTCTATTAATTTTATTTTTTCCTGCTTAATATTTTTTATTTTATTTATTTATGTATTTATTTTTTCATTTTTATTAGCAAAACACCATGAGGTACAGTTGTAGACTTAGAAATTTTTGTGCTTGGGTTTCAGTTATACAATGATCAAGTACCCATCCCTCCACCAGTGCCCATTCTCCACCACCACGGATCCAAGTATTGCTCTCACCCCCAATCCCCCCCCCCATCCCACCCTGCCTCTGTGGCAGGGCATTCCCTTTTGTTCTCTCTCTTCTTTTGGGTGTTGTGGTTTGCAAAAGAGGCACTGAGTGGCAATCATATTCGGTCTATAGTCTACTAATACATAAAAGTAATTTTTTTAGTATTTTACTTTATAAACTTACTATTGA